AGCAACTTATTATTTATTAAAAGCCAAGGCTAGAAGATACACCGTTTGATTAAATCAGAATAAAACACTGCATTTACACAAAATAATAATTTTAAAAAAATGTAATTCCCATTTATTTAGAAAGAGGTATGTAAACTATGAGCATTGTGTTATAACCACTATCACTAGGACAATGAACAAAGGGAAATTTCACAATCCAGAATCTCAAGAACTAGTGGAGAACATGCCAGCGTTAGAGCTGTGAACAGTACTGCAGCACCCTTTGCATTGCTTCACACAGGCACACCAAGTCCAACCTCCTGTGCTGCTTCAGGTACTGGTACCTGACATTGTATTATCAGACTGATTTGATTTTACTCTATCTAAACCATTTGAATAAAATGTTATTGGAAGAATACTTGTTATCATATTTTCTTCTAAAACACAAGAGCAAGTAGCAAAACATCATTTGGCCATTACAGTTCAGTACTGTTTCAGGGACATTCCACAGATACTTATACTTTAGCAAAGAAGGACAACTGGAAGCTAGAAAAGATTTTATTTACCAGACAAGCAAGTCTGTCAAGCAATGAACCATTGGGCATGTATTCATACACCAGACATGGCTGAGCACCATCACTTGAGAAACCAAGTAATTCTACTAGATTTTCATGCTGACACCTAAAGCAAAGGATAAAAAAAAAAAATCTGTTCATATATGTTCTGAAAGACACTGAACATCTGAGGAAAATACAAAGCAGAGGGAACTTGATTCCCAATTACTTGTTTCAGCTCTACTGCACACAGCCAGGTTTCTGTGGTGATGCTTGAAAACAAACATAGTCATGCTATACAAGAAACATTCTCACTTGCCATGAAAATCACTAAGTTATGCTAGAAATACAGAAATTGTATGAGACTGTACTCACTTTGCCATCATGTTTATTTCTTGTTCAAATTGCTGCTTCAAGTCCTGAACACTAACATCAACCATCTACAAAAGGAAATTTTTGATGTTAATATCACTGGACATATTGAAATGCACAGTTGTTAATTTAAGAAAAAATGGAACTGTAAACCTTTCTTTAGATGTGTTATATGTAACAACTAGTTAACTGTTTACTCAGCTCGAAAATGAAGTATCAGAACATGACTTTTAATTCCTTGGAACACAGCATTATTGGACAAATGGATCCAGTTTCAGCACAGTCACCAACTTACCATTTGCTGCATACTCATTATAAAATTAACTTATTCACACAAACCAATGGTTATGAAGACTAAAATTCCGTAGCAATACCTATTTTGCTTGTGAATCTTACCTATATGAATCTGAAATGGAAACCTTCTTAGCAACCCTTCCCTTGTGCCACTTCTCACCAGGGAGAGCACTCTGCTCTTCCTGACAATTTGCCCGAGCCACTCAAAGGGAGCTACAGAGAAGGCGAGAATTGTTTCACATGACTGTGCCAACTCATTCATGGGACTACAGGATAAGGTTCTCAACCCAACTAATGTTTAACATGGTGACACTTTTTGAATTATATCATTCTACACTTTCCACAATAAGCAAAATAAGTCTATACTATAAAGTAAACAGTCATTAAAATGAAAAAAAACCAGGAAACTCACAGCAACGAGCTTCTTGACAGCCACATTTCTGCCATTGATGTAGCCTTTGAATACAACGCCAAAGCCGCCTTCTCCCAGTTTATTACCTCCAGATGATTCTGGTCGGGCATCAAAATTATTTGTAATGCTTTCCAAGTCATGAAACAAAAAATTATGGAAATCTGAAAAACATATTTGACATTTAGCATAAAGCTCTGATTTCACTTAAGGAACAAGTGTATCAAATAGGTTTCCTGCTTCGGTTCTATTAAAACAAAAACTTGATACCACACAAATCCTGACACAGTGGAGCTCTACTTCCAGATTCGTGATGAAGATACCAGAAAAAAAAAAAGGCAGACAAATAACTAGCTATGCATAATTTTCTTCACAACTAGCACTGTAACAGCCTTCTGATTCTATTTTTTGTTCATACTTGTAATACAGGTAATAGGAATTAAACATGCTGCAGATCACAGAGAGAGCCACGCTGCCTTAGATGTAAAAAATACACCTAGACCACATCATGTTTCTGGCAGTAACACAAAAGTGGACCTTTAGGAAGGAATAGATCAACCATACACTCTCCTAAGATGCCTACTTTAGTCATCTGTTCTCCAGCATTCTTAGTCATTTCTGACATATAAAATCCAGCTTTAAAACATAAGATGCTGAATAGTCTATAAAATAAGCATTGGAAAAGGGCAACAGGAATATGTGTGGCACAAAATAAATTGCAATGTGACTAACAGTCAAGTCTTTCATCACGTTAGGTGACTTGTTGGCAAGGTGAAAGATGCTGTTTCCCATAAATGCACGATGATAGGAACAGAGTCATCACTCTCATGCATTGCTATAATTTATTTCACATGGGGTGAAGGACAGATCACCAAAAAAAATTAGTACTTAATTCTACCAAAATAATTGCCTACCTGTGTTACTGGACTGTGAACTGCTGTTTTTTTGACTTAAGTAGGAAGGATCTGAATGTTGCTTCTCAGTACCCTGAACTAAAACAGGCTTTATAGATGCCGCTTCTTTTTCCTGTACAGGTAGTTGTTTCTCATGTATAGGCAAGGTTTCCTGTGAAGAAAGAGGTAATGTAACTTCTTGTGGCATCCTTACAGGTTCTGAAAATGGAATTTAGAAAAAGTGTTAACTACATTAGGAACCAGAAAAAAAAATATAATATTAATGCCAGTGTTTTTTAAAATTAGGAGACACATAAGCATCATGAGAAGGTTATATTTTGCCACCCTATGTCAACTCCAGCACTCCTACTGAAATTTGGAACTCTTATTTAAACTGTTATTACAAGTAATAGAAAGTGGAAAATATATCCATTTTGGGTTATTTTGACCCAATCCTTTCTGATTTTCTAGTTATTATGAAGCTCTTTAGCATCTTAGAAAACTGAGAACACGGTACAAAAATGTACAAGAGTAATAGTTACCTTGAAGCAACAGGCTTGCTGGTGCTAGGAATTGATTTCTAATCAGCAGATCCACAAGATCAGCAACTGTACAGTTTGTTGTTCCCCAGTCAAAAAGCAACTCACAAGTAGGACTCTTTCCCATTTGTACAAATGCCTCAAATCTCCTTTAAAGATAAATTAAGACCAACATTAAAAAAAAAAGTGACCTGAAGAAAGGAAAGAGATTAAAGGCAAATTACCAAAAAAAAAAAAAAAAACAAACACAAAAACTGCCCAAAAAACCCAAACCAAACCCCACATAGAAAAAAATTCTGAATGTACTGTACAAATTCACTAATCTTCTGAAAACGCAGCTAAAAGCCATAAAAAACATTCAAAATCAGGGGAAAATATTACAAAATATAGGAAAAACTAAGGTAAAAGCATGTATACACGGCTTCAGCATCTTTGTCCGGGACACATAATATACTGGCACATGAGACTAACAGACAAGAGAATGTCAGCAAGAGACAGGGGGTAAGTCAGAGCCAGATCAAATGGAAAAATAATTCAGTGCTTTCTGTCCATTTGGCATTCGCACTCCATTTTGAATGTTTTGAGATGGGCATTAAGCAGAAATTGAGATCTAGTATTCTGACTGATTTACTACTATTATAGAAAGACAAAGATTTAATGCTAATGTCACTAGAAAAGACTGAAAACCCAAAATGATAGATACAGTATTTAAAACCTCACAATCTTTGAAACAGCTTTGGGATTCCACAAGCCCTTCAAGCAACAAGGTGTTCATAAAATACTGCAGGCATTACTTCTTAATTAAACTTGTAGACAGCCCTAGGCCTAAAACTAACATTTGTTGGACATTTTCTTGGGAACTGTGAATTGGGAGTTATGGCCCAGTAGTCTCTTGGGCACAGTAAGGTCAATCTTTACTGGTCTGTAGGATACAGTTACACAGCCAACGCTGTATTGCTAAAAAAACATGTCTGTGGCTCTAATTAAGGCAAATTTCCTTGGTCAATTTTTCTTGAGCTTGTCTAAAAACTGAGCTGCAGAACAATTAGGAGTAATTACCTTGAGTTCCCTCAGGAAACAGCACTGTAAGATACAAGTACCTTACCTGTATAGCACACAAATTGCAGCAAGTTACAGTAATGGGATGGAAAACGGGACGGACACCGGTACGGAATGGACAAGACAGTTATGTTAAACAGGTAACACACGAGGTTACGTTACATGACTTTTATGTAGGACCTTATATGCATCTGGCTGTATCTGTCTTCACCGGACGGATTTGTTATATCCATGGCGAGCCTCCTCCAGCCCTCCTGCGGGTCGATGTAGTCCGCCAGCCGCCTCACGAGCCCGTAGCTCAGGCAGCGGACGAGCGTAGAAGCCGTCACGGGCTCGCCCATCCTCAGCTCCTGGGGACAAGAGTGGCGCCGTCATCTGCCGGGGTGCCACACCCGCGCCCCCCCGACAACGCCCGCCCCCGGCCCCCGGCCCGTCCTCACGGCTTCACAGTTGCCTCCCGGCCCGCCCGCGGCCACTCCCCGAGACGCGGCTCCCGCCCACCATTCCCAGTAGACAGGAGCCCCCTCCGCCCCACAGCCGGCAGCAGGAGCCCCCTGGAGTTCCCTCACCGCCCCCGTCGGTTCCCAGCAGCGGCGCCCACACCCCGCCCAGGCACCCCCCCGGCACCACTTCCCCTTTAAGAGGGCGGCGCCATCCCCGGGCGGCGCTGACGGGAACGCGGAAGCGCTCTGCTCCCACGCCGCCTCCCCATAGGCTGTTGGGGTGCCCCGCCCCTCGGCGCGCACCACATCCGGAAATAGGGAGGGGGGTTCCTTCCTTTCTTCTCTTTCCCCCCGGACCTGTGTGAGTTGGTACCGTCCTTGGGCCCCTTTTACCGTGGGGGGTGGAAGTCGTGGCGCCCCCTGGCGGCCCTACCGGAGGCTCCCGGAGCCGCGGCCTCCATCCCTGACCCCATCCCTGCTTCCCGGCCTCCATCCCTACCTCTGTCCTGCCTCCCGGCCTCCATTCCTGCCTCCCGGCTTCCGTCCCTGGCCCCATCCTTGCCTCCTCGCCTTTATCCCTGCCTCCGTCCTGCCTCCCGGCCTCCATCCCTGCCTCCCGGCCTGTCTCCCGGCCCCCATCCCTGCCTGCCTACTCTCCTTCCTCCCTCCCAGCCTTGCAGCATCCTTTCCTGTAGCAGTTGTTACTATCCGCCCCCCTCCCTCCCCGTTTCCCATCCGCTCCCGTTGCAGTCGCGGCGTGCCCGGCCGGGGACAGGGCAGGCCCGGCCATGCTGCCCTCCTTCAGTTACCTGACCGAACACACCGGCTTCCGCGGCACCATCAAAAACTCCCCCGCCGACTTCGTAGTGACAGAAATCGAGGTGCCCGAACGCTTCCTTGGGGACAGCGGGGCTGAACTGCCTCAGAAAACCAGCGAGGCGCTGGCGGAGCAAAGCGCCCCGTGCCCGCGGCAGCCCAAGCAGCGAAGAGCGGAGGCCCCCGGCCCGGGTGCCCCCCTGTGTCCCCGGGGGGCTGCGCCCGGGACCCCGGAGCGCGACCCGGGCCGGGCAGGGGGCGGCTGTGCTGCATCCTCTGGCAAGAAACAGCGTGAGGGAGCACCTGAGCCGAAATCCGGCCTCGAGGAAACCAAACTGGAGTCCTTACTCGGCAAACCCATGAGCGAACTGCTCAATAAGTTTGCTTGCGATCTGAAGGAAGCGTGGGGCTTGGAAAATAGTCCGAGTGCTGGCACTAGGGAGCTCTCGCTAGGAGCCAGGCTGGACAAGAAAAGTCGGGCTGATTTACACAGTGCTGTTAGGCAGAAATTCCCCTTTTTAGTCACTGTTACAAAAGACAATGAAATGATTGTAAAAGGAAATGCTGATTACAAAGAACTTTGTCAGTTAGTGACTGAAAAGGAAACAAGTGATTTCTTTAAATTTTTAGATGCAAAGCTAGAAAATTCGACGTTTTCTTTTGAGCCTGATGGAAACAAAGAGCACAGAAAAGTAGTTCACCACTTTCTCCATAGAAAATTCGGAAAACTTTTAGAAACAAAGTCTTTTACTGTGACAGATGTCAATGATCAGCCAAATATGTCAATAATAGTACGATTTCGAGAAAAATGTGGGTCCAGAAAAAGGTCTGCTGGTGGTTCACAGGAAAAACAAGATGTTTATACAGGTAAATACTACATTTTTACTGAAGATGGCAGGTATTATGCTGTTCTGTAGTAAGACTGAAACTGAATCATTTTTCTATGACGTGTAGGCCCAATTGACTCATTGTTTATGCTGAAATAAATCATTATCAATGTGGTGTAGTTACATTACTGGAGAATGACATGGATGAACCAAGTTACTGCAGTGATTTTAAATGAACTGTTCTGTGATAATGGTTACAGACAGTTCTTTTGGTTGTATTCTCAGTGTGTTAACTTTCCCTTGAAAGTAATTGGGTGATGTTAGGAGGTGTATCTAGATGTTGGACAAGTTAGGTCAAATTTGATATATGATCTCATTCCTACAAGCAGTTGGTTTCTGATTTAGAGAATGTTTCTAGAAATACATCAATGCATGTCTTTTGAATTGTGTTGCATTTACTCGGGTACTGTTTTTAAAGGCAGCAGCGTTTTCTGATTGTTCTAAGTTTTGTGTACTGTGTCTTTATTTCTCTCTTTCTGTGCTGAAAAAGTCCCATTTCCTTTATTTTTGTGGGGTGGGAGGACTGTTTCTTTACAGTTTCCATGCTGTTACAGTTTGAGGGGAAGAACCTGCCCATCTGTCATGGCAAAACACCTGTATGATTTAGAAGTGCAAATTCCTAGTAATTCTGAGGTGATTGTTTCAGCTTTCACCCTTCAGAAAGAAAATGTAGAAACACTAGAAGCAATCGGCTTGTTGGCTGCAGAACTTGATGTTCTTCCTTCAGACTTCAGTTACACTGGCATCAAAGATAAGAAGGCTATCACTTTCCAACCTATGGTTGTGAAGAAGGTGACTCCTGAGAGGTACTTAGAATATGTGTGCATTCAGTTTAGCACATAATTTTATATGTTTATAAGTATCAGTCTGGTGCAATGTTTTGAAATGTTTTTACTGATGTGTCTTCCCTTTGCCTGTATTGGAGGACAGTGGAAGTGGCTTGTAATATTTTGTGGCTTTAGGGAATATGCAGCTTAGCAGTGAAGTCCCCCAGTGGGGAACTTGAAGAAAAGTGTTGCCGTTCTCTGTATTTTTTATAATGCAAATATACTGTGTTGTCTGGGACAGTATTCTTGCAATTCATGCTCATGGGATCCACTTTACAATTTCTGAAATACCGTCCACTACCTGAAACTGAGAAGAAGCCTATGCTACAGGATGCAACGGTTTCCACATACTGTCAAAGTATTGTCTTGTGATCCCCAGACAACAGCTTAAATGCATTATAGTGCTACAAAACTAAAGTAAATCATTACAAATGTACTTTGGACAGATGCTATCTTTGAGTGTTAAGTATCAACTTCTGCCATATTGTCCAGTTTATAAACATAGGACTAAATAAAGAAGATATCACCAAACCTGAGGGAAGGAAATACATTCTGAACAATGTGTTAGTAATACGAAACGTGCCTTTCCATTCCTCATTTTTGTTACTTTTTGTAGCCAAATGAGTGAGTAAAAAAAACATATATTAAGTTTGCCATAGTAACGAAAAAAAAATTCCCGAGTCAAAACCGTAACTTATTTCTTCCTCAGCTTTAACTTTCTAGTGGGCTTTGTTCATAGCAACAAAGTACACTTTAGGAATGAAGAAAAATAGAATTTATAGTTTCAGGATTTATTACTAACCTAAGTATATATCAGTTGTAAAATTCCTCTGCAAACTGGGCTGTAGGGCCAGTTGTCCAAGAGATAATTAGCAAAACTTTGCATTAGTGCTTAAATGATGAAGCAAAATAGGTAAATGCATTCAAACCACTACTGCAACAGAAGAAATAAATAAATTTTATAAATAAACAATTTATAAAGTTATTAAAATAGTGCTTAGAATGTAAGATTTTATGCTGAAAGTTTCCTTTAATTTGGATGACTCTTATTTACACATAAGAACAAAGACGTTGATTGGATATTTTAAAAGGCAAATACTTGAACTGTCAGCTGTGTTTCCAATTACAAGCATGTGCAAGCATATCAGAGAATCAATGTGCAGGGAAATTATGTTTTGGAGGGGTTTTCGTTTGTTGTTTTTTTTTTTTATGAAAATAAGTTTTTTAGAACTGAAAAGTAAATAAATGACTTGTTTTTCAAAAAAAAAAAAAAGTTAAAAATTCAGGGTAGTTACCTTGAGAAAGTTCAATGAATTGCTTCATTCCAATATATGTCAATATCATGTAAGTGCAAATGATGCAAACATTTAAAAAGTATTTCTGGATTATAATTAAATTTTAAGACTTCCAACTCTGTATTTGTTTTGGTTTTCTCACAGTAGTCTGTTTTACATCCCATTTTATTCTTTAAGAGCTTTTTATTCTAATGCAAAGGTGAAGAAGATATTTATTACAAGTTGGATAGCTTTAGTAGAGGATGGTTTGTAATTTCTCCCACTTATTTATGTAGGTTGAAAGAAATTGGAAACAAAATGGAAAAAAAGGGCATGAGAATATACAACATACGTTCAACGTACCAGCACCTCAGGCTTGGTCAGCTGAAAGGCAATCACTTTGACATAGTTGTGAGAGATCTCCAAAAGCACAGTCATGACTCTTCTGCAGATTTAAAGAAAAGAATATCTGAAGCAATGGAAAATGTTGAGGTAAGAAAAGCCTCATGGTTGCCAATAACGTGAACAGTTTTAATTCTTTGCTGTTAAAAAAAATGCTTTTAAGGAAAATGCTTGTAATAGCATAATAATGGCAATATTTCGTAATTTTGATGCTTCTTGTGGTTTTATGTCTTTCCTGCATTATTTATGGAATCAGAAGTAAAACTGCCTTCCAAGGAGGGACCACAAGTGAATTCATTCTGTGTTATGCACTGCAGACCGCAGAGTGGTGCAGCAAAAGACATGGGGAATTCAGTAGCAAATGGGTATGGATATATGAGCCATTGCTGCACAGACCTGAGGCCAAAGTGATGGGTTTCACTGCAGGATCTGAAGGGGGAAAGAATATAGTTACTCATATATGCCATATATATGTCAACTGGTTGCCTTCTTTGGTCGTGTGAGAAACATGCACGGTCGGCTTGGGTGAAGAACTTTCATGGCATGAACACACATAAAATGCCCATATCAGAGAAAGAAGATCCCCTGAAAATCAATGGATTTTGATTCTGTTATCCTTAGTCCCTGAAGAAAACTCCATCATCAGACACTCTTAAACCACTAAGAAAAATAAAAGCAAATAATGGAAAGGAAAAACTGTAGGTGTTTTTTACAGCATTAATTTTCTTGCTCTATCTTTCTAAGTAATAACTGTAGTACAATTTACTTTAAGAAGATTAATCCAGGAATAAAGTCTTGAATGAAAACTATCCAGTGTGCATAAGCAAAATACATTACATGTATTTTGGAAATTAATTTTATTATTGAAAAAAAGCATTCAGCCAGTACTATAATGCTTTTCTCTCTCTCTGCTCCATCTGACTTGTTTTGTTTTGCTATTTGGAAAATGAAAACAAATTCCTACAATTGTGTATCTTACTTTATTAGATTTACCTTACTGGTCATGTGATGAATGACAAAGCAGGATGTGTATTAATCCAAACTATGTATTTTTCACCTTCCATGAAAGCAAAATTGCATATGGGACTTATGAATGTCCCAAGCAAGATTATATAATTTGAATTGAATAACCATTTCCAAAACAAATACCATATGTTTTTTGCTTGTCTACTCCATGTATACTTACTGTTTTCTAGAAAAAGGTGTTCTCATTGGATCATATGACTGTGGTTTTACTTCTCACATGTGCCCTAGAACTCATCAGGAGATTTAAAATCCCAATTAGCCAAAGTATTCACTCTTGGCCTTTAGATTACAATAATTATAGAAATTATATAATGTGGAAAAAAATAGTATTTTTAAGAAAAATGTCCAGCAGTGTTTACTGTTCATTACCTGTGCTATGCTGCATTTGCCTGAGTAGCGATTTCGTAATCCAATGCATATAAAAAGCTCGATTACTTTGACTTGGCCTGTAGTTGTATTCATTATAATTAACTATATAGAAATAATTTTGTTTCACTTAGCTGAGTTTTTTTAATGATGTGAAGACAACAGTAGAACTTGATTGTCTTTTTAGATGTTTCTAAATTAAGTTCCAAAATATTGTAATGAATCATGAGTAATGTTTTTGTTATGTATTATTTCTGATTAAAAAACCCTGTTTGTATTCATTTGGGATATAAATATAGATGTGTGTGTTGTATGCATAGTCTTACTAATGGTACCTGGTACTTTCATGCTTTTAATGAATTTATTCTTTACCATTCTAGACAAAAGGTTTTGTAAATTACTACGGACCTCAGCGATTTGGACAAGGACAAATTGTTCAGACAGATCAAATAGGATTGGCTTTACTGAGTGAAAAAATGGTATTTCCATTTTGTAATTTAAATAGTTACTGTCAAGATAATTTCACATTACTGTTGGAATGTCTAGGGCTAGAGTTGTCCTTCCCAGTGAACAATTTCATTTGTGAGATAAACCCACCTGTCTGCTGGAAGCAATTGCCAGATCAGTTTTGATAACATAACCATGAAGATCTTCATACTGAAATAAATAATCTTTTTTTAAACAGCAGGTGCAGATTTAAATAGTTCAGGAAGTGATTTTTCCGTCTGTAATTGGAATGTGATTATGATTGTCTTCATGCCACTTGGCAGGAAAGTGGTTGCATTCCATACAAGGTTTCAATACTGAAATGAAGCAGTCTTTATACAGTGTTTATTCATGGTTCTGATTGCCTCCTAACTTTGAGCTGGACCTCTTTATCCTGCTTGGGGTCTGTTTATTTCTTAAAAAAGTCACATAGGTTCATCAGAAACTATTTGCTTTTTCAATACCATGGTAATTTATCTGCTATATAGAAAAGATTGCTGCTTTCCATTATTCCTTGGCTACTTTCCCAAACTCAGTTCTGAGTGATTACCCCTATGTAAGCTAAGAGCTTATTTCTTAAGTAATAATTCATAAGATAAATGTACTTTTCAATGTATATGATAGAGTACTTCTAATCTTGTTTTGATTCTAAGAAAAGTCAGGAAGACTTCTCTTCCAAATATAAGAATCAAGATTTGAGGGCAGTCAATGAAAGTTAGTGTTGATGTATCTGACATTTTGAATTCTGGTATGCTGGCAGTTGGTACCAGGTGCCAATCCCTGGGTAGTAATGATTTAAATCTCTAGTCTTAACTCAGTTACTTTAATTTAAAACAGGTAGGAACTACTACTTATATTAAAAATGTGCCACTATGTGTTTGCACAGTCCAGTATGGAGGAGGACAAGAACCAGATGTCACAGGTCAGTGTAAGTGCAAGCAAATTGAGTGGCTCCACTGATGTTGCAAGTAACAGAGATTACGGTAGTGTTTTCCTTGTCACAGTGTTATCTAACCTAATATAGATCCGTATTTAAAAAAAAAAGGAAAAAAAAAGGAAATATGATTGTCCCTCTGTATGAGACTGTGGAAAATGTTCAGTCTAAATTTTGCATGAAGCACGCAGGAGGGAAAGAAGGGCCCTTCCTGTTCAGGATAGAAGTATGACAATTTAAAGTGGAGAAGTTTTAACTGGATGATCAAGAAGAGTGACTGATTTTTCACAGAGCTTTGAAAACTGTCTTGTGTCTTCTTGATGACTAAAACTTGCCTTTAATTTGAGAAGGAACACAACACATTGAACTGCAGTTCATGGCATTTTCTATGAAAGAGAGAATTTGACTTTTCCCTTAAAGAACTGATACAATTTTGATACCTTGCAGAATATATTAAGACAGAACTGGATGCATGATTATCTGTATAGTTGACAAATAGTTATGTTTAACTGCAAAAAAGTATAAATTATTAATATTCTTCTTTAAAGGTGGAAGCTATGAAGTTGTTCTTCACACCTGAAGATACTGATGATCCTGTAAACAATGCAAAAAGATACTTTCTTCAAACTGGTATGTCCAGTTAATTTGTCCACATATTTATTCAGGGTCAGTATTGTGAGAGAGTAAGGTGTTGCTGCACAAGGAGATACTTTTTATTTTCCCACTGCTTTATGCCACTTTTACTTTATTCTGTGGAGCTCAATAGAGTTGCACACGTAAAAATTAGATGAGAATGAGGCCCTAAATGTGCAAAATAGTGGAAAATTAGTGTACTTCAGGTGCAAGGCAGTACAGAAACAAATGCTGTATATCACAATGCTGGAAAAGACTAAGATCATTTTATCAGAGGATTTTTGGCCTCCTTCCATCTGTCTGCTTTTGGACTACAAACTTATCCTCCCTAATAAGAGAAGTATACAGGAATGTGGCACCCAACTAATACTCAGCACTTAACACATCTACTCTCTTTCTGTCTTGACCTAAAATCAATAAAATACGTCAAAAGCAGAAGTATGCTAAGTGCTCTGTTTCCCATATTTATTGCTTTTGTCATTCAACTGAACTTTCTGTCCAAAACTAAAAATTTGGAGTTGCTCTCAACTTCAAATATATTTTTTCTTTTCAAATATCCCACATCTATTAGCCTGCTTACCTATCTGTCTGTAGATTGATAGAACAACTATGATATATAGCTTCAAATGACACAGATATGTTTCATTTCACAAGAAAATATAAGATGAATCATTCTTTTCTGTACATTGCTGTATGATGCATGGAAAGACATTGATGTGGACCCTGAAAGCAGCTGCTTGCCTTTTCCTGAAAGCAAAAGGTAAAAGGCTATGCAAAAGGCCTCATCAGGTAATCACTTGTAATGAGAAAATATGTAAACCGTAACATTTTAAATATACAACATTGAAATAGTGTAGTACAAATCTGATTAAATGTATTTTCATCTTGGTTGAGGCTCAGACTTCCCAGCGACCAATGTAATTTGTACCTTTAAAACGAAGACATGTTTTTACCCACTGTGAAATACATATTCTCAAATGATGCAAAGTAGTGGTTTAATGTTCTTTTATAGCTTAGTTTTTACTTTGTTACCTGATCTAAAAAAAACCTTAGGAGCGATGAAATAAGTTTCTAAAAAAAAAAGACAAACTAGACTGACTAACTGAATGACAGCTATTTTAATTTATACTGCATGAAATAATAAAATTCATGGGACTGTTGATAGCCATATCAGATGAAGTTTGTCTAACATGGCATGTGGAAGGAAAGGAAATAATAACCTAATGGCTTAAAGAGGTTAGACTGACACTTTTTTCCCCTACTTGAATATTTCATCTTCTTAAGTGTATTTTTTTCTCTCAGGTAATATTTGAAAAATCAGCGATTACTTACACTGTTATTTTTCTTTATGTCAGAAGATGCAAAGGGCACGCTCGTGATGCTGCCAGAATTTAAAGTAAGAGAGAAGATGTTGCTACGAGCTTTAAATCGCTATGGTGTAAATCATGAAGGCTGTACCAAAGGATGGCTCAACATTCCTCATTCCTTGCGCATATTCTATGTCCATGCTTATTGCAGTAAAATTTGGAATGAAGCAGCATCATATAGGCTGAAGATTTATGGCTTAAAAGTGGTTGAGGGTGATCTTGTCCTCTCAGAAGAAAATGATGAAAGCATTTCCCTGAATAACAAGGTGAGTCTTCCCAAAGTAGTTTCTTGTAAAACAAACAAACAAACAAAAAAACCCAAAAAACCCTACAGACAAAACAAAACCAAAAAACCCCAACCAACTTAATACACTTGAATGCATAATCAGACATGTGCTAATGCCTTTATTTTGCTTCATTCATTAAAATATTTAATATTAGTGAAAAAGTTGAAAAACATAATGTAGCTTTTTTTGTTGTACCATAAACAGACATAGGAGCTAGACATATATTAGCTTTTATCTGTTTTGGCTGTTCATTTTATTCAAGTGGGAAGAAGGAACAGAATGTCAGAATTGATACATGTGAGAATTTATGCTCTTAGGATCTGACTGGGGAAAACCTTCAGAGTGGACTCTGGGTGTGCCTGTATTACCAGTCAGTGCAGATCTGAGTCTCGCTCCCAACTCAGGCTTTCCCATTATATATATTGCTGAGTGTAAAGCAGTGGTGAAAGGTGACCTCAGATTGAACTGGTAATCTCATTGCAACTACAAAGGCAAAGCATGTTTAGCACAATTTCACTGATAGTGGGTCTAAACTATTAGCAGCTATTCTATGTAGAAAATGTAGCAGTCTTCTTGGGAAAATAGTAAGGGGCCATGAAATGCTTTTGCTTGCCCACAACACAGCCTGGGAGCCATGCATGGAGCCATGGGTGAGCCAAGGAGCAGAATCCAGCACTGGAGTGTCTGGTCCCAGGTTTTGGCATGCTGAAGTCCATTCTGAAGCCCTCTCTTCTTTTAGGGTTGGCATACCTTTTTCTTAATGTGAAAGCAGTTGGGTCTCTTCTCCCAAGTAGCAACTGATAGGACAAGAGGAAATGGCCTCAAGTTGTGACAGAGAAGTTTAGATTGGGTATTAGGAAAAATTCTTCACCAAAAGGCTTATCAAGCACTGGAAAGGCTGCACAGGGAAGTGGTTGAGACTCCATCTTTGGAAGTATGTGATGAGGGTTTAGTTGTGGACTTGGTGGTGCTTGGTTTACAACTAGGCTCAATCTTTTCCAACTTTGATGATTCTATGATTATATCTTCCTCCTGATCATCAGATAATGATCATCAGATAAATCATAGAACTGTGCAGTGTTTTACTGCAAAATTAACAGGTGTGTGAATAGGCAGAATGTAAGAATTTCTTTTGGGTGAACCTCTTACAAATTTGAAGGCAAGAGCACTTGGAAGGTAACCTCCAGTCCCTATGGAGTGGCTACTGTTTCCACTGAGATTTTTCTTTAACAATATTTTTGAGAATGAATGTTCATAAAAAAGTAGATCAAATGAAATTAAAAGCAGAGGTATCAAATTCAGTATTGAGTTACTGAGTTTTATGTAGATATATTCCTACTTAATATAGAACATTTTTCTTCATATTTTTGCTTTTGCTGATGCAAAAGGAGGTTGCATTGACTTAGTTAACTTCAGACTCAAAGAATATTAGTGGTAAATATTTAATGCAATACCATCTGTCAGTAAACTGATTATATTAAGCATATCCTAAGATTTTTTCCATACCTGAAAGAGTTTCTTGTCCTTGTAGCAGTCAAATAACCTTAGAATCCTTTACAAGTTTGGGAGTACAGTGTATAATTCCTAAAAAGCAAGTATATGTTTTTACTTTTTAAAAAGTTGGTGCTTTTTTCTTAACTTCTTAAATGTCTTGTCAGGTTCATGTAGTCACTGCTTCAGAAGAGTCAGCTAGAAAATATTCTATATACCAGGTAAGTCTGTATGAAAAATTCTGAGTTATCTCTTTATTTCATTAAAATGTTTTGTTTTAAATAAAATGCGATTAATTTAACTGGTGTAGTCTTCTTCCCTGCCAGAATGCATATTAAAGAAAACACACATAAACTAATCTCCACTCTCATAACAAATTTACTTTGTAATGGAATTAAGTACAGTGTCATTTTCAGTATGGCAATATTTGTCATGAAACTGAATACTTTGAAGAAAATTTCAGTCTGCTGGCAAAAACTTTCAAAAATAGTTGACGTTCTAATTTTTGAAGGTTTCAGAGTGCGTACTTGCGTGGTCTTATGTGGCAGCTGAATGTCTTTATTGCTGTATCTTTCCCAACAAGCAAGGAAATTATTTTTAATATATTCCTAGTTTGTTTTAGGAATCCTGATACATTGATTATTTTTTTCTGCGTTCGCGAAGCCTAGCCATGATGATGATGAATTGCATTTGAGATACCTGCAGTGCTCTGGTTTACTATTTCAGGCCCTAAAACACAAGATTCAAAAACATTTGAAATTGTTATTACATGTATTTAAAGAAGAATGGGTGTTACTTCAAATATGTTTGTTGTTTTGTTTTTTTTTTTTTTTGAAGGTGGTTCTTCCAATGGTGGGACATAGTATCAAGTATCCCAGTAATAAAGTTGGAGAGTGGTACCATGAAAGACTTTCTAAGGATGAACTGGAAATGTGCAAATTCAGAGTGTCACCATTACAGCTGAATATACCTGGATGCTACCGACTCATTTTGAAAAATGTTCAGAATCTCTCATATTTTTTGGAAGGTGGTGAAAAAGGGATCAAAATTGAGGACAACCATCTGAATGATTTAAAAGTCTCTCTTCATATATCATTTGACCTTGATCCTTCATGTTATGCAACAGTCTGTCTGAGAGAAATAATGAAATGTGACTTTTAAGATTCCACTTAATTGCAGGAATTTTGTACAATGTTTATATTTTATGTGTAATGCCAAGAACATAAGGGAGAAGAACAGGTTCAAGTCATGAACAGGAAAAATTTGTAGATTGAGATTCATACAGATCAGGAAAAAAACTCACGCAAATCCTTTGGAACACTCAAAAAACTTTCCAAACTCTAAATGCAAAGCCTTGAAAGCATTGGAGTAAAGCTATATGTTATACCAGGCAGGTCTAACAGAACTTAAAGAAACCATGGGCAGCTAGCATGAATTTCCTCTTTGCATAGATATCTGACTTGCAGAGTTAAATCCTGGAAACGTATTTCCAGCAAACAAATATATCTTGTATTTCATAGTATTTTTCTTTACTGTTTTATACTAAATGCTGTTCAAGCAATAATGTTAGACGTTTGCAGCCTACAGGTATGTAACTGAAAAGTTATTGTACTGAGGTTCGCTAAATATATTTTATTTTCATTTTATTTAGGCACTTAATGTTAAAAGGTAAAAGTCCTTAGTCAACAGTGACAAGTCATCTGTTGCTTTATCAGACATTCAATGAATCTCCCAACTTAAGTCAATGCTAAGGATTCCAGGATTAAGTAATGCATAGTTGTTAATGCCTTTTCCAGTAAGCTCCTCAAGATGAGGTGAGTACTTAACATCATTGAAAAACCATTTATAATAAAACCAAAACTATGTTATATTGTTTACAGGATAAAGAGTCTATTCCTGTTACTGTGAAGCCTTATGGTAGCACAAAACAAATTAATTGAACCAACTGTGGGATAAAAAAGCTTTTCTTTCTTGATTAAAAATAAAAAAAAGGCCGTTAACTGTGATAAAAATGAATGGATTTGTGAAAAAGGGGAGAACAAAAAAAACATAATTTACCTTGACTTTAGCAAGGTGTTTGGCAGTGTCCCACAATATTTACATTGTGAAACCAAGTTAGGATGTATCGGTTTGGATGGGTGGGCAGCCAGATGGGTAAAACGTGGATGATGAGGTTCAGGGAGTAGTGATTAACAGGTCATCCTCTACCTGGAATGAGTGTCACTGGGATATCTTCTGGGCCCCATCCTGTTTAATGTCTTTGTCAGTGGCCTGGACAAGGGAATGGAGTTCACCTTCATGACTCTGAAGGGGACACCAAATTGAGGGATCAGACGGATATTGTGGAGGATCAGGCTGCTGTTCAGGGCAACTGAGACATGCTGAAGGAACAGGCCAGCAGAACCATATGACATTCAAGAAAAACAAATGCAAAGTGCTGCCTGTGGTAAGGAAGCACCCATGCAGCAGCCCAGGCTGGTGAGCAGCTCTGCAGGAATGGCCCCAGGAACCTGGTGGGCAGCTGAACATGAGCCAACTATGTGCCTTGGCAGCAAGAATGACCAACAGCCTCCTGGAATGTGTTAGCAGGGGCACAACCAGTAGGTCAAGGGAAGGTATTACATCTCATTGTTCAGTACTTGTTGGATCACATTTAACCTCTACATTCAGTTTTGGTGCCCAGCACAAGAAAAAGATAAATAAACTGGACCAAGCTCAGTGGAGGGCCTCTGAGCTATTACGGGACTGGAGTCCTTGCCATTGAGGACATGCTAAAGGAACTAGGCCTCTTCAACCTGGAGAAGATACAGCTTGGGGGAGAACCAACAATAGCTCTCCAGTATCTGTGAGGAGGTTAGCAAGAAGATGGAGCCAGGCACAGTGTGGCAGGAGGTGTTATGTTCCACTCTACAAGGCAGAAGTAGCTTTTGTTTTTCTGCTAATAAATCCCTTGGGGTGAATTAAAGTAAATCTAAACCAGATAATCAGTGGTTACAGATATAGATATATGTATATATATATAGAGAGAGAGACAGAGGGTTTATTTTAGAACAATTTGATTGCAAAGGAAAACAGGTATGTAGATGTTGGGTTGTTATTATCTATAGTAATATGGCAATATAAAAGCATAAAGATATCACCCAAAAAATGTGTAAGGGAAAAGAGAGAGAGAGAAAGAATAAAAGTTCCTATTCACCGCCCAGAGGTCTCCTCTGGTGGTCGTTGCTGGTGTCTTGGTCCATCAGGGAGTGATGGGGGAAGAAGCCTGTGCAACATAAAGTCTGGTGGGTTTATATACCCTCAGAAACCCTCCTAGTACCTCCCTGTGTGGGGGGGGCTGCTGTTTTTGCACAGCCATGCTGGCTTTGAAGGAATGAGTCAGGGGCTGGAGGTGCTGGCTTTTGCACAGTCATTTAGGCTGGAGAAGGCTGGTGTGTGTGCTTCAGAGGCACCCCCTGCTAAAAGTGGGGCTTCCTCTGGGGTAGGACATAAGCATCACACACCCAGAGACACACCTAAAGACTTGCCCCCAGGCCTCCACAAAGTTAACAGTTTGCAGGCTATGGTCTCCTCCCCTCAGCCTTTATCTTCAATCTCCTGGCAGGAGCCTTCTTTGCACAGCTTGCTACAGCAGCAATGTTTTAAGGCAATTCAAAAATACAGTTCCTCACAGGAGAATAAGAGACAGTAAGCATAAAGTGAAATGAGATTCAGATTGGTTAAAAGGAAAGACTTTTTCCCTGGGAGGACAGTCAGGCAGTGGAACAGGTTGCCCAGAGGCTGTGCAGCCTCCATCTAAAGGAGGCTTTTAAGACCAAATGGGACAAATCTCTGCGCAACTGTCCTGGTCTCAGCTAGAGTGGGATTAATTTCTTCTCAGTAGCTGTTGAGTGCTGTGTTTTGGGTTTGGGTTTTTTCTAAATTGTATTTATCTTAAGAACTTTTTTCTTGACTTATGGACTGCCTGTGAGGAGGTATGCAAAAGAAATGAGGGGGGGAGCATAGCTAAGACAGGTGACCCAAATTGACCAAAGGGATATTCCACACCATAGAACGTCATGCCCAGTATACAAATGGTGGGAGTTACCCAGAAGGGAAACTGAACTGGGCTTGGGAAGGGGTGTCTGGCATTGGACAGCAGGTGATCAGCAATTGCATTTTGCATCACTTAGGTTTTCCCTTTTTATTATCATTATTGTTATAATTTTCTATTATTACTGTCTTTTACTTTATTTTCAATTTTTAAACTGTTCTTATCTCAACCTACCAGTTTTACTTTGATTCTGCTCTCCATTCCACTGGGGTGGGGAGGAGAAAGGGGAAGGTGAGTGAGCAGCTTCCACTGCTGAATTTCTAGCTGGACTTAAACCATGACAGCAACCAGAGCTGACCTCAGAGGCAACCCTGTTTTGTGGAGGCAGGGACCAGAGACCTCTTCCAACATGGATTGCCCTGCTATCGCAAGCACAGTATTGCAAGTGCTTATTCAACCTGTAGATGGCAGCATGACTTAAAACTGAAATGGGAAAGTCTACTCATTTTTCCTGAGCAGGAATTAATAATATAAATTGATTTCTGTTTATGGCATCCATTTTTCAATTTATGCTAACAGCTCAGTATGATAAATTTCTCAAGCTTGAGAATTATAATAATAGGAAAAATAGAAATATAGAAATATAATTCACATAATTTCAATGCTTGTATAAAACTGTGTAGCAAATGAAGGATCCAGATAATTCCATATCTTAAAAAAGGTGATTATTCTGTAAGTCTGTTATCAGTAATTGAAATTTTGATCCTTATCTTTTATATGGGGAAATAGACTGCCATGCAAACAATAGCTGCAGAGTCATTGTAGGTGAAGTGTAATGCTTGCTCTATTACAGTGCTTAATCTACCTCAAGTTTATGGTATGCAGACAAACTGATGGAAAAATCCATTTCCCTGCCATAACCCATCTGAGACAGCTTTGTTCCTGTCTTTTCATTTCAGTATCACCTCTTCTGTCTTCCACCTGCCCTTAAACCCTGCCCCTCTTCTGGAAAATTATTTTTAACTCAAGTAAAGCTGGTACAGCAGAGCTCAAAAAGAGTTGTCCTGTCAGCACTGACATGGTAAAGTGCTCCAGTGCAGACAGAAAGCTGCATGCAGTTACAATGACCAGAAGAAATAAAGTAACACTGAACTTCTCTTTAAAGAGACTATTCTGGTCATCTTCCATGTGGCTCAAAAGAGGCTTGAAAACCATCTCATCACATACAAGATTTGAATACAGGAAGTATTAAAAGTTGAGCCTTCATTTGGAAAAACACAAAAGGTTATACTAAAAGGTCTTTTGATTGAAAGGTGCACTATTTTAAAATAAAATATCAGAAGATGGTGTTAAAAGAGTTCACCCATAATCATTTTAGGCTCATTTGTCAGTACTTCTATTGAACACTGAAAGGACTAATTTTCTTAAGCAAATCATTCTTTCAGCAACTTTAAGGTGGAAGAGCTAATTATGTGTGCCCACGGGTTAAATTCCTATAGCAGAAATGTTCTGCCAGGGAAAAGTCAGGTTAGCTGTTAGAGTGCTTATAGAGTAAACATCTTTTTTATTTCAGTGGGCATTTATTGGTAATTCATTCTCTTAGTCCTAGCAGCTATTTTGCAGAATTGTGTACATAAGCAGCTGAATTCAGAGAGTTCTGTATGAGCTCCCTAGGTATAATTCATATAAGCAAAACATCTGTGCCCCTGCATTTAGAAAAGAAGATTATTGTGGTGCACTGATCTGAGTTCAAGGAAAAGATTCATTTGTTAGTCATCTCTCATTTTACTAAGCACTTCTATTGCTACCATCCTTTTCTGATAAGCCTTAAAGCACTTTGCTAATACTAATGAAGACAGGTCTCTGATTCTATTCCTAATAAAAGGGTTTTAAAGTTCAATGGCTAGTTGATTTTTTTCAGCACAGATGATAGATAATTGGGCATTTGAATGGGAGAAAAAACAAATATTCCTAGTCTTTAAAATCCTGTTACTTTTAATTCACTACAAATTTGACAACTAGTATTATCCTCAATGAGAATGTACAATTTTTCAGATCTTTCAGAATGAGATGGCTTAAAACATTCCTATCATAAAGACAGTTCAGAAGCCAGGTAGATGTATGATTATTGGCCCAGCTCACTCATTAAAGCTCCATTAACTCCTCTCTTAGTGCCAGTGCCTGTCAGCCGGTGATTTGACCTCTTACACCCTGGTGATGAGGATAAACCTCTTTTCCTTTCTCTTGCAGAACTTCTGCCCATAATACATGCTCAAGGTAACAAGCTGAGAAACTATTAACACTTTCCTTTCCTTCAGTCCAAGGTCATGCCTTGCAGCCCATTGGGTCAGATCTAGATTCCTCCAGGAGGAAATGAAACCAGAAGGTGAGCTCCAGCTGCAGGCCAAGCATACTCATATCCAAATGGAGAAACAGGGTTCCGAATGAGAGGTTGGTCATTTGGAGATTCTCAAATCCTACACATGGGTGCATTCTGTTGTGGAGCCTGGACAACATTTAGCCCAAAGTAAACCCACCAAATGGAATGTTGTGTAGGTACAGGGCCATCAATGCTCCCGTATGTTAATCTGTTCTTGTCACACCAAAAAGCTTGCTTATGTAGACATTGTCTGGGATTGTTGTGTTTGTAAGGAAGGCAGAATAAGTGATGTCAGATGTTTGCACCATCTGAAGTAACTTTATTCTTCTTAGCAGGAGTCAGACTCTTATATTACAGCAGTTTAAATGCATTTTCAGTTTATATAAAAATGCTTCTTCCTGCTTAGAACAGTAAGGTTTTTAATTAGCTTTAGAAATGACTGACTTAAAAAATTGATTCTGTCTTCCAGAATGTTCGTGCACTTAAAAACCCAGGGCATCCTTTCCCATCCCCATCAAAAGGCACTTTGTCTTTTTACCTTCACATCTCTACTAAATTCCTTAATATCTGTGTTGAGCTAATAAAAGAAGTTTCAGAACTCTGCTTAAAGAGTACTCTAATAATACATGGCCAAACCATTCACTTGTGAAAGTGCAACAGGAATCATTTAGTGATTTTGTTTTGATATTATATAGACAAACACATAGAATTAAACTAGACTTAGATTTAGTGCTCTACAACAGCAGTGGTTTGGGCCAAGGCTCAGTCTTGTACTGTAGCTTGCCTCCAATGATTCTTTTAAGTGGACATGTAGGAAAGAGCAAAGCAAAGGAAGCATGTGTGATATTTAACCTCAAACTATTTTCAATTCAGGTGATTTCCTGATCCTGAGTGTTGTTATTTAATAACTCTCAGTGCATTTCTTTCCCAGGTATTTCTCATCTTCCCTTGAATATGTTCAACCTCTTCCAAGGGTTACATGTTTACTACCTGTTGTACAAAGATCCAATTCCTTTTCTTCTTAAACTGCCTCCTTCTGACTTCATTTGATGATCCTTGGCTCCTATATTTTAATTTAAGGGATAGTAAAGAATTCACCCCTATCCATCCTCTTGGTACCCAGACGTTTGTATGCTTCCCAGATGTAATCTCCTAAGTGAGGTGGTTACCACAACTGTGCAGCTATGCAGCCTCTGCTCCTATGAAGGCTATTCCAAACCTACTATATTCGTTGTCCTTCTGCTAGCTTTTCCTGTTTTTTAAAATACTGTTTTGGAGATGAGGGATCTAGAACTGCATGCAGGTCCATATTTATACTATGGATTTCCCCACTGGCACAGTAATGTTTGTTTTGTCCTGTAGCTCTTCTAGTATGTTATTTCGTTTTTGACATGCGCTTCTTCCTCAAGCATTGAAGCAATGTATCCTTGGAACTAGGTATTGTAAACCAAACATTCCACCCCAGAATGGTGATTTTGCCCTCATTAATTTATGTATGAAATTGGGATTTGTTTTGTCTATGAGTCACTTTGCATGTGTCTATGTTCCAAATTTCATCTGCCATTGTATTCCCCTGTTACTGGCATCATAAGGATTTTCTG